AAGAGAGGGACAAATATCTGGGTGAGCTCCAGTAGAGACTTCAGGGAACAAACTGGATGATCTGGTTTGTGTTCTTGAAGATGCACCGACCCCTGTCTCAGAGCAGAGGAACACCCTGGCCTCTGGAGACCCCTCGCAGCTCTTTGTTTGGATGAAATCCAAGTACCCAAGAGGAAGCCAAGAGCCCAGAGCAGATCACCCAGGCAGGATCCTCAAAGCCTGTGCCCCACCAAGTCAGGCAGAACCACCATTACCTTCTCCTACCCGTGGGGACGGGGATGGGGATGCCGAAGCTGCAGAACGCCGAGGAGTGGACTGCACAGATCCAGGTCCCCCCACGTGGAAGACATCTTCAGCAGCAGGCTGTCCACCTTGACTCTGGGAACTTGTCCCACCAACCCCAAACAAATCACTCAGCAAGTCAGAGTTAGAAGGGGCAGCAGTGGGCTGTGAGGGAAAACTCTTGCTCGTAGGGCTACCATCCAGGCCCAGCAGGTCCACATCTTCAGGTGGAGGTGGTGCTGGAGGCTCTTGCTGCTTTTTGCTGTGTTTTGGTGTCCCGTGAGGCTTGTCACCACTGGCATTACTGTGCTGACTGGAAAGGGACAAGAGTTCGTCATCTGACTGTTCGCTTTCCTCATGCACCAACGCTGCTCGATCCTCTGAGGTGGGGTGAGAGCTACTTTTGTCAGATTTCTGATCTAAATGATGATTAAAAATAAAATTAGGTAGCTGTTAGTTTTGTCATCACACAGGTCGATAAATATCAGCTTAAAAAAAACAGAACAAAATGCTACTGAGAATATCACAGCAGCATTTTGGTAGATGTTACAAGAGTCCTTTGGAAAGATTAAGTTCAAGTCTTTGCTGAGCTCTGTTGTAAGGAGCCAGCTTTATTGATCAGGAAAGAGATTAACTGATTCTCCTCAAGCCTGAAGAGCCAGCAAGCGTAATGCCCAGAGATATGAACTGAATGAGTTTCTGGATCAGGACCAAGCAACCAGGATTATCTCCAGCAATGCCTCAAAATCCAGGCTCAGTGGAAAGGAGAAGTGACATAAACCAGTGGGGACCTGGCAGTGCTGGGGGAATGGTTGGACTTGATGATCTTAAAGGTCTCTTCCAACCAAAATAATTCTAAGATGAATAAGTGCCCTCTCAGACACACACTCTCAGTACTACACTCTTATAGCACTTTATATGAAGAGCAACAACAGGAAAAAAACAGCTTAAATATGGTTTTAGCACCAAGAACTCCTCTGGCAAAGCTTTACACTAGAACTATGTCAATAATTGTCATATGCAGCACAATGCCTGAGGAGGACATTGGAAGAAATGAATTCCCACTCCATTGCAACATAAGGGTGTGACCAGCAACACACTGTGGTCTAGTGGGAGAGACATTATAATCAGATCCTTCAGCCTGTGTGGAAAGTGGAAAAAAAACCCAGTTGTTTATCTTGTTCAAAGCAAACTTGACTTTGAAGACCAAGCCTGCATACCTTGCCAGCTGAGAGATGAGAAGAATGCACTCTGCCCAACATTTCTGATGTTATCCTGGGGTGAATCAGTGGGACCTCTACCTGCAGCACAGAGCACCAAAGAAATCAAATCCAGCCCAACAAAGGTCAGTATGCAGGTTAAGAATGTGACTTGAATAAATCTTTACAGCTCTTACCTGCCAAAGCAAGAGTGTCCTGATGCTCCTGATGAGAGGAGAAGAGAATGCTTGGATTGATGTCTTTTGTTGTGAAGTTCTCCCACGGGGGAGTTAGCTCAGTCTGTCTATCAGTAGACTGTATTTCTATGTCCAGTATAACATGAAAGAGCTGAGGATATTTGTCTGGAGAGTCACAGGCATCCAGTTCAGGCCTAAATGAGGATAAGAGTAGGACAGTTAAAGGAGAGGATCTCTGCAAAGCTGAGATCAAGTCTTCCAACACATGCACACAAAGACTTTTCATCTGGGAAGATCCTCCTTCACCCTTCTGGAGCATAAAAGCCTCGTGGTTTGATAAATGTTCAGCTTAACATACTCACTTGGTGAATTTTAGTGTGGTTGTTCCCAGGGCTATGAATCCAGTGTGAAACTGAATTTGGAATATTTGCGTGTTGGTCATCTGAAAAAAACACAGAGCACCAGACTCAAGTGATTAATGAAATTAAAATATAGTTATAGTGCATGCAAACAGTTAAAGTCTACCTGGTTACTAGTGACCACATAGAAGCAGCAAGAGTTAGCTTCCATAGCAGCTATGAGCAGTCTACAGAAAGTAGAAACTCCTTAAACCCAAATATTTCCATCTGCCTTAAACCCTGCTGCTGCCACCACCTCCACAGAGCAGAGTATCTCCACTGCCATCCCTCTGCAACTTGAATATTAAGGTTGCTACTATATCATCAGGAAAATTATCAAGATCTTGGGTTAAAATATCAGTGGACAGAGTGACCATTTCAGAACACAGCCCCCCCACCCAGCTGGTGGTGAGGGTCTTGGAACTGGTCTGCCTGACCAGCCACACAGCACCCATCTGCAGGGAGCAAATGAGGTTCTACTCAAAGCAGGGGGGACAAAATTTGGTTCTTCCTTCACTTTCTGTGCTTTAAGGCACTGCAATTTAATCAAGTTATTTTGCCAAGTGGGCCAATTAACCCTCAGCCCTACAAAGGTTAATAGAGCAACTTAGTGCATGACAACCACTGATTCAGTTTCTGCAGATCCAAGTTTCCTAGTCTTACCAGACTACATCTCCAAATTCCACTTCCATAATGACAAGAGCCACAGGATGGTATTTTGAAGTCAGTCTCAAAGCCTAGAACAGCATGAACCAATATATATTTTCAGCTTCTGCTCTCCCCTATGTTACATGAAGGGGACCTTCAGGGTGTGCTCACTCCAGCACTGCTCTCTATCCCCAGTTTCCCCTGGCTCCCATTTCCTTCATCTGCTGGTATTAAGAGGCTTGTTTGCTATGAAGAAGGTGGCCATCTGACCAGCTTGCTCTTGAAATGGTCTTTCCATCCCCACGACTGCCCAATCCACACAAATTGCCTTTTTGCCCTAAAGACAAAAAAGATGAAGGCTGCTGTAGAGCAAGCCAACCAGACACCATGCAGGAATGATGACTCAGACATTCTAATTTAAGCAGAAAATAACCTTCCACCTTCTTAGAGTGTGTACATAGAGGCTTTGGTGGTGGCTTGCCCTGATCTGGTTACTGATGGACCTTTTCTTCTACATCAGCTGGAATGACCCCACAACTTATCAGCAGACATCTCCATAAAATTATTCCAGAGGTGTCATGGACTACTCCACACACAATTCTTTGCTTTCACTTTGAGCTGCTCAAATTTGTGTTCATGTCTATTGTCAAGTAAGGAAACTTCAATCAAAAATGCCACGTGCCATCTCAGACCCCAGATTCAGCCATCTCTCAGGCAGCTACATTGCCTGTACCATGCAAAAGAAGTTAAACTCCTACTTTTGCTTGAAGGCGACCTCCAATGGTTGATCTCATATGGTAGACAGAAACAACAACATCTCCATGGACAGTGGCTCCCAGTGGAATGAGAACTTTCCCTTCTTGCACACGGTATTCTCTTTGAGGGGAAGAGAAGGAAATCCATGGTTAAGCTCCCTTCCACCACGCTACCACCATCAACAATGTCAACATAAAAGCTACTATCTCATTCAGGCCAAGCAAACCATGCAAGGCCAGGCACCAAGAAGGTGCATTCAGTGCTCTCCTCAGGGTGGTCTCCCCCCACATGACAACTTCAGACTCACTCTACCAGCTTGCTTCAACACTAGGCACTAGCTTTCAATTAATATATTGCAGCATAGATACCAGCTACATTACAGCAAAGCAAAAGCCTCTTGGTGTTAAGTTCCTTGAGGATGGTAGGACATGACAGCAACTCACTTCATCCTTTCATACTCCTGGGAAGTGGTGAGGATTCTTGTTTCTCCACTGAGAATGTCACAGAAGGGCCGGCAGCCGTTCCGTTGCTTGTTGAAGCAGGGCACTGGGCTGAGGGTGACTGACTTGATAGTGAGTGGTTTGCAGTGAGGAATGACAGGCTTGTCTGCTATTAGATCACAAATGTACCCTATGTACCTGTAGACAGAGAAAACCATCACTGAAGGCTCCATTTGTGACCAATTTTCATTCCATACTTGAAGCCTACCTTGAAATCCAGTGAAAATGTGATTCTATCACACTTCACACCCTTCTAGGACTGGAGTTTCCATGTGTTCCAGCATCCTTGCAGCTGACATAAAAGCTATGCTTCTACTCCTGCTTAATAACAAGAACTGGGCCTCAAGAGGAAGGAAGTTGGACTTTAGTTCTGAGGCAAAGATCATTTCTCCTCACCTTTTAGGCAAGAGGGTGCTGAGCGATGGGTTTTCTGGTTCACCAGTAGAAGTTTGCCTTCTCTTTTATATGCAGATAGGAGAGGAATGACTTTGTTGGCCATGTGCTGAGAGATCATCATTACTACATACACAGCACTCTCTGCTTTGCTCTGACAGGCAGTTTTGCCTCTGCTTAATGGAAATTGTAAAAAGAGAATTTTACTTGGTAAACTCCTGTAAGGATGAAGCTGATGCAGGGAGAGGGATTCACCCAGGCCCTCTTAACTACAGGTTCACCAGTTTCCCTAACTAGTGAGCAAAGTTATTATAATATCAGGGTCTAGAGCTCAAGTGTGGTGAGGAGCAGCTGAGGGAGCTGGGGGTGCTGAGCCTGGAGCAAAGGAGGCTCAGGGGAGACCTTATCTCTCTACAGTTAGCTGAAAGGAGGTTGTAGAGAGGTGGGTGCCAGTCTCTTTTCACAAGTAAGTGATACTACAGGAGAAAATGGCCTCAAATTGTACCAGGGGAGGTTGAGGTTGGATATTAGGAACAATTTCTTGCCCTTGAGGGTTGTCCAGGGCTGTGCCAGGCTGCCCAGGGCAGTGGTGGAGTCCCCACCCCTGGAGGGGTTTCCAAGCCGTGGAGATGTGGTGCTGAGGGACATGTTTTAGCAGCAGACTTGGTAGAGTTAGGATAATGGTTGGAGATGATGATCTTGGAGGTCTTCTCCAGCCTAAATGGTTCTATGGATTTGTTCCTGTTACTGCTCTATCAACGTGGGTAAAATGGAAGTGGCCACACATCAGTTAAGACCTGTCACAGCCAAGTGCCATGGCTAATGGACAAGTACCACCCAGGCATCATTTGGCATGAGGAACACAGCTTCCTTGCATCAACTTCAGCCAGCATACTCTACCTCCTGTGAGATGGCCACAACACAATCCCAGGTCTCTTTGTGTTCAGCAGCTGCATAGCAGGGCCTGGATTAGAGAAGAGGTGACAGAAACAGAACATGGCGCTGACCAGAACTGCTGAGGCTGCACGGCCATCCTGGAAAGGGAAGGTTGAGGGGAGAAGATCAGTCTGTAGGCATCAATCAACATTTACAGTTCAGCAGAACATTCTCCACTTTTCCTTAAAATCACAGCTTCTCCAGGAAGACTACAACTGAGACCACAAGATGAGGAATTTCCAGTGCTGTGCCATTAATACCTGGGAGCTCGGTGAGAGACACTGGTCTGGATCAAAGCTAAGATAATATCCAGTAAGCAGCCAGAGCTGAGGATGGTTTAGGCTTGTTCTGGAAGCCCAGAAGTACATTTTGTCTACAAGTGTTGGTGTTTCATGGCTGTTCCCAAGCTATGATAATTTCAAACACAAGCCTAGAACCAGCCACAGGAGTCAGTACACCCATGCCACAGGGAGCCCTCTGATGAAAATTTAACCTGGAAGAATCCACCAACAAACAAAAAAATCCAGCTCCCTCACCCAAACACCTCCTCAGCCCTCAACCCTTAGGTTGCTCCTGAAGTCTGTATTCTTTAGGGTGATGAGAGGGGAAGGCATGTTTGCCAAGTCAGATTGATAGACCAGAAATGCAGGAAAAGCACAAGAAAAAGCAAAGCTCCTCAAAATTACTTATTTCAGGCACCTTTTAAGGCACTCCAGCCACACTGTAGGACTGGCCATACCAGAGCTGACCCAGAGCCCAGTAACCTGCTGAGCCTGAGCACACATTCAAGGTTAACAGAGGAAACCATAACTCTCCTTTTGGGCATTACTGTCAATCAGTATTCAAGGGGTAACTTACAAGGCAGCCACACAGAATCACCCCACTCTCCTGCATCCCATCCACATCTCATGCACAAAGAAAAGAAGGTGGAAAAGGGACTTCTCCAGCCAGGCCCAACAGAAAGTGACCACAAGACACTTTAACAATCTCAGTTGGACAGAATTCCCAACTACACGTTTTCTCTCCAGCTTCCATCAGCAACATTCAGTGTAGAGGCTGCACTTTGTCCTGTGACTACCTAGAATAAAATGCAAAGCCACAGCAGGCTGACAGCTCTTATGGCCAGTTCTCAGATTAAATTCAAACCTTTTTGCTACTCATCTCTAGTAGTTCATTGCCAGAATGATTCTGACCTCTCTTGCTTTACACTCCTACTTCTCATCCATTATTAGGTCTTCCAGCTTAGCTATGTAGCCACCCATGGAAGATGATGTCCCTTTCTATGGGGTCCATTTTATCACATTTTGTCACCATCCTTGCACACAAACTCCAGACATACAATGTACAACATGACTTCTGACTCCTAGGTCTCAAAATCTGGCTGCTGTCTGGTGTACTTACCATGCAGTGGATGACACAGACATTTTTGGGGTTCTGCTGTAGCCAGTTGTGCATGTTCTTACAGACAGCATAGAGGTTGTGCAGACTGGGTGCTTGTCGTACTGGCCAGCTACATTCAGATACCTACAGGAATGGCACAATGAGCAAAAAACAGCTTGGGAAGAACATTATTTAATGTTTTTACACTTTATGCCAAGGAATATACATCTTTTATGACCTAGAGTTATGTGCTTGAACCTACTCCATCTCTTCTCATGAAGAATCCTGCTCCTTGGCTTTCAGGAGTTATGAGACAAACCAAAAAAGAATTCTCAATTAAATAACATAATGTTGATGTATTGCCACTGACTACACATTTTTTAAAGTTTACATTCCAAGTCAGATTGAGGGGCCTTTCAGAACCCTCCACTCTCACAGCAGCACATGGATTTTTTGCTACATCTGAAGCCTTTGTACAACCTCTCTCCCAAAACTACAGCTCTGATTTTCAAAAGCCTACTGAGCATCTGTTCTCAGTCATTTTGTCATAGAATTTGAGCCCTATTTGACAGATTTTAGGCTGATGAAAGGGAAACTTTGAAAAAACCCACAAATATATTTCTGAATAAGTGTAGTTAAGATACGAGCCAGAAAAATTAATGACTTCTTAGAGCTGACAAACCAAAAATTCCAAAATATGTCTAGTTACTCTTCATCAAGTACTAGTTCTGAGTCATAACACTTATCTCAGGAACAGTCCCTGCAGTCTCAAACAGCACATCAAATAGCCTTCTACAGACATCTCCATTTCATCTGGCTTTAATTGAAGTTTCTTTTTAAAAAGGCATTTCTGGCTAGAAGGAATTTAAAGGAGAAACGTCATGAGGCTTGTCCTTGGAGGATTGGCTGATGTTTTGATCTTGCTTAACAAGAACCAGGGGCAAGGAGGAGATGGTTTGATTAGATGTTCCTAAATGGCCATATGATTTCCATACCTGACCACTGATGGAAGTGCTCCAGGTTTCATAAAACCTGCATTTGAGGTTCTCACATACACCTGCACATTTTATAGCAGAAAGAGGAATCCCAACTCAAACTGGAGAGCTAGTAAGCTGGGTTTTGTCTCAACAACAGTTCCAAGGACACCCAGAGGACACAGGGACAGAGCAAGCAGGCAGCCCTGCCTCACCCAGCACATCTATCCTGCTGCCAGACCTCTGATTAATATTTGGGAGATTTTTGTCTAATATCAAATTATACATTTTTCTCATGAAAATTTCTGCTCTCTGCAATATCCTGAAATTCAGCTGCACTGGGTGAGCAAGTCAGAACTACCCAACAAGTCAATCCATGCTCAAGCTCTGGAAGGCAGTGAGTGACCATTCCCTATTCATCCTCTCCACAGCATTATCCTTATTCCCCATCTTCTGTCTCAAGAGCTACAGTTTATTCCATTACTTCTTTTGTATACAATTTTCCTTTACCTTTTCCTTCTCTGTGCATTTTTGGGAAGAGTCAAGAAGGCAAAAGACAGCCCAAGGTTCATTACATAGCCACCCTCAGTCTGGGAATGAGCAGCTTTCTGTTCCACAGACCTGGCAGGCTACACACTGCTGCAGTTATTGACCTTGTAAAATCCAAATTACACAGTGATCACAAACATTTATTCAATCTTTAATCAAGCCAGAGTACCAATACCATAATTTTACATTATTAATCATTTTGTATCATCATGCCAATTACTTTATTATCTCATAGCATGCAAAAGTCTTTTCCTCCCAACCTCAAATACTTTTGCACCAGGCTCCTGGAAGCCAAAGACCCACTTGCAGTTAGACCACTAAAACAGATTCCAAGGGGCTGTTAGAATGAATATGACCAGTGACCCTTCCACTGGCAATTTTCTCAACAAACCTCATGTCAAGCATCTGGAAAAGCCATTATCATTCCTCAAGTGAATAATCTACATTTCCCAACAGTCCCTAATTATATATTTACTTTGCCTATAATTACACATCTGCTTGCTGGTTTGCAATTAGGAAGTTAAATACTCTCCATGTAACGTTTCATTTATTTCAAACAGAACCTCACCAGCATTCACAAAAGGTGACCTTATAGAAAAGAAACAACAATTCTTCTAAAACTTTGGAAATAAGCAGCCAGCCCTTGTTTTACTTTACCAGTAGGGCAGCAACATCCAAGAAGGTGACCCATCAAGGACCTAGAAGTTTTGGTTTGTTGTCTCACACTAGATTTGAGTTAGATGTTGCCAAACAGCTCACACTTCCTTGAGCAGCTGCAAGATCTCCTCACCTGCTGGGGAAGTGATGCAGGGAGGAGAACAGAGCACAACCCAATCTGAGCAACAGGTCTGAGTGCCCACAGTCCCCTCCTCTCCTCAGACTGGCCAGTTGGGACTTGGTGCCCTGCACAGCCACATACCAGGGCAGAAAAAATGGCCCAGCAGGATAAACTCACCTCTCTCCTGTGCCACTGTGCAGCCAAGTGACCTACTTTAATCTTAGGAAACATGGTCTTCAAGAAGATAGGAATTAAAACACCTTTCACTTCAAAACAACTTCAGCTCATCCAGAGCATCCTCAAACAGAAAATACTCTGATTTCACCTCCCTGATAGCCCATTAGTATTTTTTCCAATACCTATGAAGTTCAACCTCATATTTAGAATTGTTCCATGTTTCATCTGACCTTGTGTATTGTGATGTGCACATTTCATTTTCCTGAGGAGCACTTGGAGTCAGTATTTCCTAGCCCATAACCTGGAAGTACAATATTTTAATCAAAAGCTGTATCATTTTCCTCCTCTGTGTCAAGGCACTAGCCCACAAATCACCTAGTGATGCATCAAGAGTGACATACAAAATCTGCTGCCAAGCTGTTGGTTAGGGTAGAAGATAAAGCACAGGAGATGGAGGAGTTGTAAGCCAGGTCAAGCAAACCAACAGATGTTTAGAGCTGGGCTTTCAGAAGTAGATCTGTCTTTCTCCTCCCACCAACAGCAAGAGTGATGCACCAGAACCAAGAGAGACTGAAGATTCAGAGTCCTCAATACCTTTTAATTAGTCTTTCCTGTTCATTTACTTATATTTGAAGTCATAGCTGGTTACTAATTGCCTCTGAGAACCGTGCCTCAAATGTGAGTGATTTCTAGTGATCAGAGCAATTGCTGAAGGCAGATTCAAGCCACACCTTAAATTAAAATGAGGCTTATGCAGCATGGGATTCTCTAACTCTGATCAAGGGTTAAGCCTAGCAACTGCTGCTGCCTTTTTTGAAGGCAACAAAAAGAAATATTAAAAAAAATTTAGAAAACCATCACTCCCTTGTGGGAGAGGGAAAGATGAGGAAGTTTTCTGCAAAATTAGCCCTAAACTTGCATTTCAGCAGCAGTATTTCATAGAGATTTCCTCCAAAAGCCATTCATGAACCAGAGCCTTGCAATGCTGTTCTGGTTTTAGGGAAGGAAACTGGGGCAGAGAGTGGAAGTGGGTTTTTCATGTCATGAGCTAGTGGAAGAGCCAAAATGCCCCTCAGATCCAGTTTCCAGTCCTGTGCCTTGCCTGCTGAAGGCTCCTGTTTGATTAAATGAAACCCCAGGCATCAGCTAACCCCCAGAAACAATCACAGCAGCTTAGAAAACACCTTTAACTCCTTTTTCCTCTTACATTCTGCCACACTCAGGCAGAAACAAGACCTGGTGTCCCTTTTCTTCAGGAGTTGCACCCCCTGCTCTGGTTCCTCCCTCAGCACTCACCCGGTTGTGGAACTTGGCACTGCGATAGTACTTGGGTGACAAGTTGAAGACTGTGTAGTGGTCAGGATGCCTGGAATCCAAAAACGTCCTTACATCTTCAATGTGGTTCCTGAATCCTAGCTCAACACCTTCAGCTGGAAAGGACATCACTAGAAACAGAAGAAGGAGCCAGGTTGAGCACGTGCCAGAAGGTGTTTATGGAGTTCTGAACCCTGGGATGCCACCAGTTGTGTTTCTCTGGTAAGCAGCACTTACCTATGATTCTTGAGGTAATGTATGAAATGTCAAGCTCTCCCTTGGTGTAACTAGAATACAAAGCAGGACACAGACATTATGCACATGTTTACAGAAGACTTCCCATCACAGGAACCAGAAGAGTGTTTTCCCCACAAAGATCTGCTTTGGAGACAAGGAAAGAATGCTCTTAATACCCACTCCTTGTCCTTTATGGCTTAAAAAAAGGGTACAAATAGCTTTCTGCAGACAGTGACCCAGCCTTCCTTTTGAAAAAACATAATTAACTGGATGCAGAAGCTTTCAAAAAAAGGTCCCTTTTCCCTTTTGTCATTAATTTTCAGAAGAAATCTCTACTAGCCTGCCACTATGCAGATCCCTCAAAGCCTCCAAGGTTTTGCCTGCATGAAGTTTAATTTCTTTTAGCCCCATATTGCTCAGAAGCACGTAGAATGCCAAGCACAGGGGACACCACCAGCAGAGGTAACCAAAGCAAAGTCACCTCAGCTCACTTTTCTACTCAAAAGGTGACTACAAAGGGGACAGTTACGTCAGCAGGTGGAGCCTCCTGGCACAGCAAAGGGAGGGCACACAACACGAGCCAATTTTCAGTGCCCAAATGTTCTAGTGGTGCCTGAGTAGAAGGATCACACAGTGGTCACTGAAGGAATCAGAGACCAAGTGCTCCACTTTCACTGTATTTTTTTTTTCTTCCTAGATTTCAGGATGTTGATGCTCATTTACTATGAAGCTTAGATTTGACTTTGGTTTTCCTGCTTCTCCGAGGCCAAATACCAATTAGGAGACCAAATCAAAGAAGTCTCTTGTGATTTTCACCTCCTTCCATCATTAGGTTGGCTGGAATTTGTGCTGTGCTAGTTAAGAGAGCAGCTCAGACCAGCATTTTGCAGCTAGTGGTTTCATTTGCATGAGGAGCTTCAGCTGTACTGTACCTGGCAACAGACTGCATGACCTTTGAAGATGTATCTTTCAGGGTATCCTTCAGGTTATCCTTCAAATTGCTGAAGAGTCTCCCTGCTCCTCCTTTCACCATATCTAGCAAGCCTCCCCCATAGCTGGACTCCATGTCTGGTGATGAGGCACCTTCAAGTACAACAAAACCAAGGCCAACATCAATTACTTGGAACAAATCCAGGGAGCCAAAGTCACTCCTCTGTCCAGACCCAACACATTCATGTGTGCTGCTGCATGTCAGTAGGGCTAAAGGAGTTCTACCAAAAGTCAGGACTTTCCAGAGATGAGAGAGCACATTCACAGAATCACAGGGGTTGGAAGGGACCTCTGGAGATCATCTCCTCCAACCCCCTGCTCCAGCAGCTCACCCACAGCAGGGTGCCCAGGATGGTGCCCAGGGGGGTTTGGGATCTCTCCAGTGGAGACATATTCTTTCTGTCTGGGCTCAGAAACAGTCAGTGACCCTCAGCATTGTACAAAGGTTGACAGGTTGGCAGCAGTACAGTATGGATGGCCACCACACAAGCTCCCTCACTGCTCAACCCAACCCACGACCAGCTCTTCAGCATGCAGCTACTTCACTGATCATAACCAAAACCAAATCAACAACCATCTCCACAGGGGTAAGAAAAAGAATAGTACATACAACAGCTCTTTGGCACAACTGTCACAGCCACCAGCTTGACTGCAGGCAGATGACTGAAGGCTGTCTTGTGATTATTCATATACAGAGAGCTCAGAGTGATTTTAAGTCATTCCAGTTAGATCTCATAGAATCATCTAGGTGGGAAAAGACCTTTAAGATCATCCAGTCCAACCATTAATCTAATTCTACCAAGTCTACTGCTCAACCTTGTCCTAAGCTCCACATCTAAAAGACTTTTAAATACATCCAGGGATGGTGATTTCTTCCCAAAACGCAAACTTTTATCTTCTTCCACTCAAGCAAAAGAAGGAGGTTCAAGAATTAAGCATTCCAGCTGACAGTGAGAACCTTCCTAGGTACTTGTGTGTTTGCAGCCTTAGAACTGGACTGAGCAAGTTGCTCAGGCCACAGCAGTGTGGGGCTGAGCTCCTTGGGGAGCTTCTCCTTCACAGCTTGAAATGACACAAAGCTGCAAAGGAGACTAACAGAGGCCAAGATCCATTGCAAGAGTTATTTTGCTGGACTGTATGCTACACCCTTATACCTCAAGTGTCTACATCTTGCAATTATAATAGATCTTATCAGTTCTATAAAGAAGTGATTTGTTGCAGCTTCCTTTTTACAGCAGTGCTGTGTTAGGAGCATCACCCTCAGAAAAGTCAAGTACAAACCATTCTGTGATTCCAGAATAAACTGGATGTAGACTTGAGTAAATGTGGGTTTGCTTTACTGCAGAGTTCAGTTGTTAGACCCAAACCTAGTAAAATGATCCCTGAACTGCTTATTAACCACAAATTAAGCTGTTAAAAGTTGCCTTCTTTCAACTGTTTTCATTTTAGCAAACTTGATCTACATCAATGACACATTTGTTGCCTCACTATGTGAGGTGAGTTAGAAGATGGAGATCTTCTAGCACACCAAATTATGCCATAAGCAGCTACCTGCACGCATGCCACACTCATAAATGAGATGGCATCTGCTAAGGGTTCCCCTTCCCAGGGCATCCAGAAGGTCTGAGGACATTTGTCCTGCTGTAGAGCCAAGGGACAGCTGCTTTGCAAGATGAACCTGCTGGTTATTATTAATTACTCCAGCACTCAAAAATGGGGAAGAGTTATCATGGCTGAGGTAGGCTGGGGGCATAGCCAGTGCTCATATATTTTACAGAGAGACCTTACAGCCATCACTCCTCTGCTCCTGTAGCTTGTCCATGAGTGCTGGAAGCTACACACCACTGAGATAGTGCCCATATAATCATCATTACCAAAAGAAATCCTGATCCACCTCCATGTGATCCATGTGCTAGACTGGTAAAATTAGAGACCACCTCTTCTCCTCCACACTCTGCCTGCTTTAGAACAGAAAATTCCCTCTCAAGGCACAGGAATATTTCTTTTGCCAAACCACTTGCAAGTATCTACTTCAAGTGTGATAAAAGATGGAAAAAAAAAATCAAAGTAGCTCATTGGCTTTCAAGTATGGAATCAGTGTTTGATCTCTTCAAAACCTGCTGTTGTGCTGCTCTGTGCCAGGAGAGCCAGTGGTGGAAGGAGGAAGCAAGGCTCAAAAGGCACTTTCAGTTCTGCAGGTCAGCTTTTAAAAGAAAGGAAAGCAGAAAGGTGGTAACTTGGAACAGGGCAAGGGGGACAAAGGGATCAGAGAACCAATGGTACTGGGCACATTTTTATGGTTGGAGTGCTGTAGGAGAGCAACAGAAAGACTTCAAGAGTGTGGAAAGCTTAGTGTGTTTAGAAATCAACACTGAGAAAATAAAAAGAGAACAAAGAGGAGAAAGAAAATGAGAATTTCACTCTATTTCCAAAAGAACAGCAGGAGTTAATTCTGAGTTTACTGTGTAGAACAGATGATGGCTAAAAGAAATGCAGGTTGTGTTACTTCACCAAGAGCACACAACTAGTTTTCAAGGTTTCACATGAGGTATCACCTCACCACTGTGAAGCTGTGAGGAAGTTTATGGCTTCCAGCAAGACATACAATGGAGCAGAAAGGGTTAATGCATGAACACAAACATGACAACCTACACAGGAATCTGTCAGAACAGCCAAAAACAATTGTATTTAAAAAAAAAAACCTGCCTGGCATTTTTTGCTGAATAAAACATTTTTTGTGCTAAGTTCTTCTTGTAAATGGGACCTTCAGAGGTCCTCCAGAGCTTCCCAGAGGATGGCTGCCATCTCCTGGGCCACTGGCATGAGGCACCAGGACAGGGAGGGCAGAGCCCCCCATGACCCACATGTCTCCTGGGGAAATCAGCCATCACCTACTGCACATCCCTGAGCCATGCCCTCAGACAGCTCTCTTCAGAGATCTGCTTTCCTTGAACAGAAAAGTCCTGAGGGAAGAGCAGTTGGGTTTCCCCTCAAGCATGCTGGCCAGCTTGCAGAGGATTATGACCTGCTCTGTGGTAGAAGGACCAAGGACACTTACTGAGTCTAAAGGGATGAGTCTGTTGCTCCCTCAGAGCTCCAGGTCTCACCATGCACATAAGGTGATCACCAATAACTTGGTCAGGGTATTGGGTTAGCAGTGTAACAGCACTGCCCTGCTCAGAAGGATCTTCCTCCCAGAGACAGCTGGTAGACCCAGGAGAGAGAAACAGTTCTCTTCCTGAGCACAAAGGCAAAAAGCAATTTTGATTAAAATGAAGTGCCAAATGCACGTGACAGCCCCTTCCTCCCCTCCATCCCATGCACACATGTGCTTATGGAAGAGAGCTTCCAAGGGCATCCAGTCCAACCCCCTGCAGGGACAGGGACATCTGCAGCTAGAGCAGGGTGCTCAGAGCCCCGGCCAACCTCCCCTGGGATGGTGCCAGGGATGGGGCAGCGACCACCTCTCTGGGCAGCCTGGGCCAGGGGCTCACATTTCTCCCTTTTATCTAGTCTAAATCTCCCTCTTTTAGTTTCAAACCATCCCCCCTTGTCCTGTCCCAACAGTTCCTGCTCAAAAGTCCCCCCCCAGCTTTCTGGCAGGCCCCTGGCAGTCCTGGCAGCCCCCAGGGGGTCTCCCCAGCTGGAGCCTTCTCCTCTGGGGCTGCCCCAGCCCAACTCTCTCCTGCTGGGCTCCCAGCAGAGGGGTTCCCCCCTCGGGGCCTTGCTGGGGCTCCTCTGGCCCCGCTCCAGCAGGTCCCTGGCTCTGCTGTGCTGGGGACTCCAGAGCCGCCCCAGCACTGCAGGGGGGTCTCACAGAGCTGGCAGAGGGGCAGGATCCCCTCCCTGCCCTGTGCCCACACTGCTGGGGGGGCAGCCCAGGCTGCTCTTTGGCTTATGCTGCAATCAAAGCCAAATTTAAACACTTACAGACCCTACACAAGCTCCAAAAGCATCTTCTGCTGCAGCAGGGACAGGAGCTCACAAGCTTGTCTGCACAGAAATAGCCACCAATGAGCAACACAGGAGCCTGTCACTGGACTCTGATCCCAGATTTTGGCATGTTATCACACAGCAGTTCAGGTGACTTTGACCATGGGTTGGAGTCAGTGTCTAGAAGGCTCATTATGGAGAGCTGGTGTCCATGTACATGAGATGCATCTTGTTCCTTTACGTGGCAAGGGCTCTGTTTTAACCCAGTTATTGGATATTCCCCGAAAGGCTGAGTGTGCTTCAGAGCCAGCTTCTGACCTGCATTTGTGGCACAGATTTTAAAGGGGCTCTCTTGCTCCTGGCAGACAGTTCATTCCCTAAAGAAGGAACTAACACAGTGGCCTTGCTGCTGCACGTGCCTCACAAAGCGTGGCCCAGACACTTGGAACAGCTCTTGAACAGCTCCATCAGGCAGTGGCAACGGTGACCTCTTGACTGGAACACTCCAAGTCAACAGAGCAGCATGGGAAAGACAATTTCATCCCTTTTGGGTGGCAAGGTGAAGACTGTTGGTTCTGGCTGAAGGTACTTGCTCTGAGCTTAACACCTGCTCTGAGAAGAGACTATTCTTGTGTCCAGAATAAACCTCTAGCAGTCATTGAATACAACAACCACCTCCTGCCTCTTCCTAGAGAACTTAAATATGTCCTCAAGTAGCATTCCTGTCACAGACCTCTCATCAGCCAAAGGGTGGGATGTCTCTGGAGAGATCACAGCTGAAGGAGCCTCTGCAGACAGCACCACCCTTGTGCTGCACAGCACAGGAGCTGGAGAGCATAAAAGTCTTAATTAAAGCACCTAAGCTCTCTCCTTGCTCTCCAGCTAATTTTACAGGGTATCAGACAGACGTGCAGTGCAGGAGGAGAACTTCTCCACAGGCAGAGAGGCTGCTGAGACAGCACAGCTAATGCTGTGTCCCTGCAAACATGTCCCACCCCAGTGGGGGCACAGCTTTGGAGGAGAATGCTGTGAGCACCAGGAAAGTTCAGGAGGAGGTACTGCTGTACAGGACTGCTTTAGCACAGCTCCTCTGCCTGCTGTCCCACCATGACCTGCTCACCATAGCCACAGCCCTGTGCCCACAACTTCAGGTG